TGTACAGTAATGTCATGATGACTTATTTTATGGACTACATGCACTTTAGTTTCGTTTTTTTTTAACCAATTAGACTTTAAAATGTAGATGTTTGAAAACCGCCGAAATGATCCCAAACCAGCCCAAATTTTGACCACCCGCCCAAACCCTTTTTTACCCGCACAATCAAATTCAAAACCGCCCAATTGGGCGGGAACCCGCCCAATCTGGCAACACTGATGGGAGGGTCTCAGAGCCCTCCCCAGCTCTACAGCACCCCACACATTTCCAATGTAAATCCGTGGTGTAAAAGGGAACTGCAGCACGCTCTCATAGAGAGTCATTGGGGCAGATTTCTGGCTGCCCCGCTTCTTTTCACGTGACCTTACGTAAACCTCGCTCCAGAGCAAGACAGTATCAGTCCGCTTCAGATATGTGTCTGCATCAGGTCAGTTACTAGTCATGTCAGTTCTTCCTATGTGGAGTAGCGTATCAAATTAATGAAAGTATAAACCCTTTAGTTTAAACATGCTCATGTGAATAGCTTTAATATACAGTAGTTGTGTTTGTTTCATGTTTGTTCTGAGAATAGACATGACTTTGTTTTCTTTACTGTAATTCCTACATAACTTGCAACATTCTAAAACAACATTCGGATGCAATAAATACATTAAGCAAATTCTAAGGCATTATATGTGTTTGTCGTGTGTACTAAAGTATGTAAAATTGTCAATCATAATTAGACCGCCACCCTCAGGCTGAATAACACAAGAACATTAGAATTCATTAGTGTCAACATTAGTGTCAGTATCAGTGGTGTAGTGCAGGTGTTTGGATGTGTTGTGTGTGTGGGTGCACGTGTTGAGTGTAAAAATAAAAGACAAGCTTAAATGTGCATCTGTGTGAAGTCCGGGCGTCCCGAGCGAGGCGTGGACACGGACAGGCCAACAGAGTAGCGTTCGAGCCTTTAGCCCCCAGACCAGAACAGGAAGAGACCAATGCAGCTGAGGAGCTCCTATTCAAACACCAGCTTCCCAGGTGCCAGCAGTTAGGCCTGAAAGAGAGGACCAGAAACAGGCCAAGGGCCGTAACATCAGCGATTAGAATATAAGCCGTACAAAATGTTTATTATAAACTAGCGCTAAGACCCAGAATCTGCCCTACCTAAATTTACGGCCAGGAGCCGCTACTGGCGAATTCCAAACTGAGTCGAAATAGTCTTGGCTATTGGACCCGCAGTCTGCCTGTGCCTATTGATTCCAGACCCGCACCCACACCCGCACTAGCCTGGTCCCACCTGACTCTCGCACATTTCATTTGTACAGAGAGTCTGGCATCGCTCCATTGACAAGCGTTAACTTCCTTGTAGGCGGTCCTCTGCTGAAGTTTAAAACTACTGGATCTGCCCAGAGTCACTCTGGATAACCAATAACCAATCGCTAACGTTTTGTTGTGACGTATGACGACTCAAACTAGCGCACGACATCAACGTCATCGTTCTCAGCTCCTCCCTCTGTTCGCTGATTGGCCCGGTAAAAAATTGACCGGAGAAAACCAAAGAATACAGCACAATCCCAGACGTAGTGCTGAAGGAAAATGAAAATTGAGCGGAAGTACGTAGGAGGGCGGAGCCAGGCTACACCTGCACCGCAAATGTTAATATTATTCCACTTGTTAAATCATATATTAGTGGTTCATCCGCAGGATTATGGACTGTGCCTCCCCAAACAGAACCATCCTGTGCCTGGATTGTCCCAAAAGTTTAGTGTTGTCTAGATATCCTCACTTTTGATCTCCAACACAGTTCTTATAGAGTTGTAGTGAGTGCAACAATCAGATAAATCTGACACATTCAAGAAGTCTGGCAGGAGTTAATCACTCGCCGGCTGCAAGGAAGAAACGTCATGTCAGTGTTCCAGTGTTTGAGAGCCAGGAAAACATTACCTCTCCATTCTAGAGAAAAACAAGACAGCTTTTGTCTCGATTATTAAAAGACAAGAATTTTTTTTACAAATATACTGTATATGTTCTCTATTTATATTCTACCAAGTTTTTTAAAGAAAATATATATTTTTATGGGAAATAACATATTTATGAGAGTTGATAAAATGGTCAGGAAACTAGTGGAACAATTCTATTTGAGGGGGGAATTCACCAAGAATGAATTGAGCCTCTAAAAGCATAGTTTATTTGCATGTGCTTTCTGTTATTCCCATAGATTTACCCGCTTTAAATGCACATGTTCCCTAAAGCCACCGGGGTGTTGGTGGCGCAGCGGCTTTGGCTGCTTGCAGGTATATTTTTCTATTAAATTACATTGTATTTATCACAAATCATCGATAATGTACATACTGGCTTCACCATGTGCTGCAAGATACATTTAGTTTGACATTCAGAGTTTTACAGTTTGGCAAGAACATGAAAAAACAGGGCATTCATACAAAAAAAAAAAAACTTTACAGGTTATAGAGGTTAAGTATATAGACAAATGCAAAACCTAATAAAAGTAATTATGTCTGAAAACATTGTTCTCAGCAACTTCATTGGATTTTAAATATAATACTGCCTAAATTGGAAAAAGAAAATCAATGTGAACTTTGAAATCAAGCTTGGGCATATAAACTGTGTGTCTGGTGTGTGATGCAAGTGAATTGTCATAGACACAGTGTGGCGCGGCCTTTCTCGTCCAGTGTGCAACCCCTTCTGAGGCTTCAGGGTATCCGTGTTTTAAATGATCTTGCATCTCTCTAAGAGAGTATACAACAAGTAACAACAAACAGCCCAAAACATAAAATAATTTGTTTATTTAAAAATTATGCTATTTAAATTTAGTAATAATATTATACAGTACATAGTAAAAATGTTATATATATCTATATAAATTGATCTTTTTGGTAACACTTTACTTGAAGGGGTGTGCATAAGACTAACATGACACCTTCATAATCATGACATGACACAGAAGTTGTATGCATGTTTATGACGACTGTCATTAAGTGTCATTCGCTCAGTTATGACATTTTTAATGCAAATATGACATTTTTTAAGATGTCTTTGTTATGACACCTTGACATAAACCAATACATCATAACCTGTCAGTGTCTTTGTCATGACAACTTGACATTACTAAGACAACTCAACCTGTCATAAACATGACATAGCAGATTAATTATCAAACTTAAGAAACCACTTAGCTTTATTGGTTAACATTACATTAAACTGTCAGGTGGTGGGTTTTGACATTGGCTGTCATGAAGCCATTATAACTGTTTAATGACAAATTCAATTTGTACCACTGTAGTTGAGGTCACGAAAAATATTCATGACACAGTTATAATGGCCTTATGACAGCCAATGTCAAAACCAACCACATGACAGTTTAACTTAATTTAATGTCAAGTTGTCATGACAAAGACACTGACAGGTTATAATGTTATGGTTTATGTCAAGGTGTCATAACAAAGACATCTTAAACAATGTCATATTTGCATTAAAAATGTCATTATTGAGCGAAAGACACTTAATGACCGTTGTCATAAACATGCATAAACCCTACTTCATATTCATGACATGTGTCATGTCATGGTTATGAAGGTGTCATGTCAGTCTTATGCACACCCCTTCAAGTAAAGTGTTTCCACATTTCTTTACTTTGCAGCTGGATAATGTAACTGTTATTGACTGGATAACTTTTCTATCAGTTTTAATTGTCTTTGTGTTTGTGTTTTGCTTCAGTTGGATTTCGAGTTAGTTTTGCACTGTTCTCAGTTCAGTTTCCTGTGTTTTCATGTGTCTCACCTGTGTCTTGTTAATTACCTCGTTTAGTCCTTTGTGATTTTCTTTATATATATATAGTGTTCGGTGTCAGTTATTCTTTGTCAGATCTCATCTTTTAAAAAAGTGGTGGTTCTGTTTCCTGTGTTTATGTTTCCAGATAACCTGGAGAAGTGTCATTTGAAGTTTATTTTGATTAAAAAGAACTACATACAATTAGATCCTGCCTTTATTTCCCATTGTATTGCAACCCCTTGCTGACAATACGATCAGTTTATAACCCCAAATCCAGAAAAGTTGGGACATTTTGTAAAATGCAATAGAATCAAGAATCTGTTATGTTTTAACATTCTCTTTAAGCTTTATTTAACTGGCAAAGGTACAAAGAAAATATTTTCAAAGTTTTTACTGACCAACTTAAGTGTATTTTTTAAATATAAACAAGTTTAGATTTTTATGGCTGTCACACATTTCAAAAAAGTTGAAACAGAAGCAAAATAAACAATAACAAAATAGAGAAATACAAGCAAATAATAATGATAATAAAACAATAGGCAATGCACAGTATACAAGAGAGACCCAAAATAACATACATGTTAAAAGCCAGGGAGACATGTTATAAGATTAAAAGCAGTGATATAAGAGGCATGCCTAATGTAAAGGTGTAATGACCAAACATTGAGGGTACGTTAGAAGATGAGACGAAGAGTAAAGCCAGTCCCACTAAACTAAAGCCTCTAAGCATCTCAGGAGTATGTCTTAGTCAACCAATCAAATGCAACACGACTAGACACTTTTATCTCCTTGAATCAGTCGTGAGAAAGATGTCAGTTGAGACTCTTAATAGAGCAGATTCGATGCTTTCTCTGTGATCTTTGAAATAAAAGGCAGGTTTAAAATAGGCTGAAAATTGGGAAAAGATGTAGTATCAAGATTGAGTTTTAAGACATGTTGCATATACGCATTTATTGATTACTGATAACACCCAGGACCATCATTTGTCTGAGGAAACGCTCATTCCCACTAAGGGAGCTAGGGTTAATTATGGAAATTATTCAAACCTTTGCAAACCTTCCCACACATTCTGTGTTACTGAACTTGCAGGTCATTCTGAAAGCCTGTCTGTAGAGAACGCGGCAGCTTCTCCAGTCTGCAATACGTTACTGTACCTGTACATCGTCACACAATCCCTATCCAGACCTGAATCATGTCCTAACCACCTGAACATTGTATTCTCTGTGTCTCAGGTTCATGATGCTCAGCTTGGAGTTCGAGCACAGCTGTCAGTATGACTATGTTGAAGTGAGGGATGGAGACAGCTTGAACTCGCGTGTGATTGGTCGTTATTGTGGAAATGATCGACCTCCTCCAATCAAAAGCACTGGCAGTTCCCTGCACATCCTTTTCATCTCAGATGGTTACAAGAACTTTGATGGTTTTTTTGCCACCTACCAGGAGAGCTCAGGTAAGACCGATTAAAGACAATATTATCAGTACGCTCTTTAAAAATATAGTTCATTACATTTACATTCAATCATTTAGCAGATGCTTTTATTTTATTTATTTATATTTACAATTGAGGAATACCATAATAAGCGATTCTTCTGAAAGAGGAAATAAACACAAGAAATACTATTCTGAACGACGTCTGAAGCTTTGTATTGCTAGTATAAACTGGAACAGGGAGGATTGAGGAACAGCGAGACTATATATTAGTTCAGCAGATGCAGTTAAATGTTTGCGGAAGGGATGAGTTTTGAGTTTTCAGCTGTGTTTTGTATATTGCCAGGGATTCTGTCCGGATAGGGTTGAAAAGATTATTTTCGAGAACGTTCTTTAAAGTGATTTTGATTAGTTGAGCGGAGGGAGTGTGTGAGCTCGTGCGGTCCTGTAAGCACCAGTGTCTTCAGTGTCTTCAGCTCGATGGAGCCGCAGTGTGTGACTGGTGAAAACCAGGCGAGCTACATATACATGGATGGAGTCATCTCATAGTTTGTTTGTTTTTTCAGTACAAAGCATGTGTCGTTGCATTACAACTAACCGTGTTTGTTACTTTTGTCATTTTTGTGTGGGTAGGCTATGGCATCCATAAAGTAAATTCACTGTCCATTGTGATAACAAAGAGTGTAATATAGTCTAGATATATAATTTATATATAATTCATATAAATTTAAGACATATCTTAAACCTTTAAAATGTTTAATAACATTTTAGAGAACAAACAACATCCCTAATTAAACATACATCTTTCAGCTTTAAAATGAATGTGTGATGGTTATAGATGAGGATGGGTAAAGAAAGAAAAAGAGTTAAGCTTTACTTGTCTTAAACTTCTTTAGAGCCTTTAAACGGGTAATTCCACGCTTTAACCACTAGATGGAAGTACCTTTTAAGTCTACATTTTAAACGGCTACAAATCTTAAACAGTTTTTAAGGTTTCTTTGAATTGCATCAGTAGACATTCAAAACGTCACTGTTTTGAAGCAATTCGTTTTATTTTAGCTTGTTTTATTTATTATTATTATTATTATCTTCTGTTCAACCTTATCTCACCTTCACCAGTGTAAATGCTCTTATCCCCTCTTGGATTTAGGAAACTGGTATTCTGAACAACATGCCTATAACACTACTCCGCTGTGTAGATCTGTTCAACAGTTGCTGGGGCTGTTAAGAGGGGAAAGAGAAATGATCAGTCCAGTCCAAAATGAATCGGCCAGAGATAAGACTCTAAAGAAGCTCAAAGGAGATCCTCAGCTCGCACGGCACCAGCTTCAGCGAGGGTGTCCGTCTGCTTTATAACGTCAGAGGGAATGAATGATTCCTCCAGGTCATGACTGTGCGAAGCCTCCTCTGGGGCAGATCTATAGTCTTGCTGTACTGTCTCCAGTGTGAAGTGAAAAGTTCCTGTTTGCTGAAGTGCAAATCCAAGCCAAAGCTTTGTTCAAGGGTTGCTGAATGTGTCTCTCAGAAACTTTGGGCATTTCCTTGAGAAAGAAAGAATGCACGCAGACCATCGAAAAGGTAGAATTCGTTCAAGAGAGAGGAAACGCATGTTACCGTGCCTCATGATAGTCCCGCTGTACAAAGTCACAAGCCTTACACGCACTGTGTAGATATGAAAGTATCGGGTGTTGTGGATGAGGTGTGCATTACAGCCAACGCCCCAAATCTCCTTCAGCTGCAGATTTCTCCAGGCCTTGCCTTTACAAGCTCTCCTAACACCGTTATCAGCACACAGAGCAACTACTTTTTGATCAAGGCCATATTTTTCAATGACGCAGGAAATATATTTTTATGCCTCACCTGGCAGAGATGAGAATTGAATTATCTTGACTTCTACACCCTCTAGTGGATTGAAGTATCGCACAAGCAAGGGGAAGAATTGATTGTCTTCGTGGTTGGACACACACTTGTCCAAATAACGCTGAACTTCAGATTCGCAAGTTTGCTTCACAAAAAAAAGAAATCACTGACACTGAGATTAGAACACTTAGCAGCGTCGACATGCTTTTGCTGTGTGCACATGCTGCATAATGTCGCCTCGGGGAGCAATAGAAAAACAAGCTCTACCAATATCACATCTTAATTGACTTGGCTCTGACAGTGACTCACTTTATAGGAATTTATACTGTTTTTGAAGGTCGTCATTAAATGTACACACATGCTTCTTTGACATTTTCACGCCCGACTCGATCTCCTATCACTGACACTGACGCTGAGACATTTATGTGCTGTTCTCAACACGCTGATAAGAGCTACGGGTGAGCAAATGTTGGACACTTTCATGGTGGAAGAACATCTGAGCTGGGAAACAATAGTGATGGTGCTTTAGCAGTGACTGTACAACAGAAGAGTCGTCACCCGAACACAAGCCTTACATCTACAGATCACAGGCACTCGCTGTAAGCTCTGTCATGCATGATGTGTTGTAAGCAGTAGTTGCAGATGTGAACTTCATTAAGCCAAGGCTGCTTAATTCACGTCCCATAGCAAAACAGTGCACAAACAGATCAGCAACTGTTCCATGGGCATGCGTTTTTATTGGAGCAGCACATAAACCTGACCTGGCACTGTTCTTTCCCGGCCAACAGTGGAAACTGGCAAATACTGGCCTACCTTACTGGCATTTCTAGTACTCTCAGTGGACTACGTCTGTATTCAGGAGCCTTATTTTCCAAAATTGGAGGAAAGTGACAAAATAAATGCATTCAGGAGTTTCCAAATCCATCATAATTTTTGGACACAAACGTAATGCGAGTGGACTTCATGCTCGACACCATTAACACTCACCTCACACAATTAACATTTCAGTCACGACTTCACAGGCAATGACATGGAGAAATATGACGACATTTGAGATTCTTTTCTTGTGATGTCATGTAATCAATTAAAACCTTACTTAGCTAGACAGTAACTTTCTTCTAGAGCTGCAGTTCAGCCAAAACAATCTCTGTTGCATTAACCCCTTAAAGTCCCTGTAAAGTCAAAATTTTGTATGTGTTCTGAGTTTGCCACCCTGCCAAATTTAAATGATAAAAAAGCCAGCAAGTACATAAAATAAGCTATCAAAATCTTGTCCAGGAGCTCAGGGGCTCCAGTGCGTCATCAAGTAGGGGCGTGTCCAGGAGCTCAGGCGCTCCAGTGCGTCATCAAGTAGGGGCGTGTCCACGAGCTCAGTGGCTCCAGTGCGTCATCAAGTAGGGGCGTGTCCAGGAGCTCAGTGGCTCCAGTGCGTCATCAAGTAGGGGCGTGTCCAGGAGCTCAGGGGCTGCAGTGCGTCATCAAGTAGGGGCGTGTCCAGGAGCTCAGTGGCTCCAGTGCGTCATCAAGTAGGGGCGTGTCCAGGAGCTCAGTGGCTCCAGTGCGTCATCAAGTAGGGGCGTGTCCAGGAGCTCAGTGGCTCCAGTGCGTCATCAAGTAGGGGCGTGTCCAGGAGCTCAGTGGCTCCAGTGCGTCATCAAGTAGGGGCGTGTCCAGGAGCTCAGGGGCTGCAGTGCGTCATCAAGTAGGGGTGTGTCCAGGAGCTCAGGGGCTGCAGTGTGTCATCAAGTAGGGGCGTGTCCAGGAGCTCAGGGGCTCCAGTGCGTCATCAAGTAGGGGCGTGTCCAGGAGCTCAGGGGCTGCAGTGTGTCATCAAGTAGGGGCGTGTCCAGGAGCTCAGGGGCTCCAGTGCGTCATCAAGTAGGGGCGTGTCCAGGAGCTCAGGGGCTGCAGTGTGTCATCAAGTAGGGGCGTGTCCAGGAGCTCAGGCGCTCCAGTGCGTCATCAAGTAGGGGCGTGTCCAGGAGCTCAGGGGCTCCAGTGCGTCATCAAGTAGGGGCGTGTCCAGGAGCTCAGGCGCTCCAGTGCGTCATCAAGTAGGGGCGTGTCCAGGAGCTCAGTGGCTCCAGTGCGTCATCAAGTAGGGGCGTGTCCAGGAGCTCAGTGGCTCCAGTGCGTCATCAAGTAGGGGCGTGTCCAGGAGCTCAGTGGCTCCAGTGCGTCATCAAGTAGGGGCGTGTCCAGGAGCTCAGGGGCTGCAGTGCGTCATCAAGTAGGGGCGTGTCCAGGAGCTCAGTGGCTCCAGTGCGTCATCAAGTAGGGGCGTGTCCAGGAGCTCAGTGGCTCCAGTGCGTCATCAAGTAGGGGCGTGTCCAGGAGCTCAGTGGCTCCAGTGCGTCATCAAGTAGGGGCGTGTCCAGGAGCTCAGTGGCTCCAGTGCGTCATCAAGTAGGGGCGTGTCCAGGAGCTCAGGGGCTGCAGTGCGTCATCAAGTAGGGGTGTGTCCAGGAGCTCAGGGGCTGCAGTGTGTCATCAAGTAGGGGCGTGTCCAGGAGCTCAGGGGCTCCAGTGCGTCATCAAGTAGGGGCGTGTCCAGGAGCTCAGGGGCTGCAGTGTGTCATCAAGTAGGGGCGTGTCCAGGAGCTCAGGGGCTCCAGTGCGTCATCAAGTAGGGGCGTGTCCAGGAGCTCAGGGGCTGCAGTGTGTCATCAAGTAGGGGCGTGTCCAGGAGCTCAGGGGCTGCAGTGTGTCATCAAGTAGGGGCGTGTCCAGGAGCTCAGGGGCTCCAGTGCGTCATCAAGTAGGGGCGTGTCCAGGAGCTCAGGGGCTGCAGTGTGTCATCAAGTAGGGGCGTGTCCAGGAGCTCAGGGGCTGCAGTGCGTCATCAAGTAGGGGCGTGTCCAGGAGCTCAGGGGCTCCAGTGCGTCATCAAGTAGGGGCGTGTCCAGGAGCTCAGGGGCTGCAGTGCGTCATCAAGTAGGGGCGTGTCCAGGAGCTCAGGGGCTCCAGTGCGTCATCAAGTAGGGGCGTGTCCAGGAGCTCAGGGGCTGCAGTGTGTCATCAAGTAGGGGCGTGTCCAGGAGCTCAGGGGCTCCAGTGCGTCATCAAGTAGGGGCGTGTCCAGGAGCTCAGGGGCTCCAGTGCGTCATCAAGTAGGGGCGTGTCCAGGAGCTCAGGGGCTGCAGTGCGTCATCAAGTAGGGGC